GCTTTAATTGACTCATGAATTCAACTATTAATTCATATCAGTTTATATCCAAATCAATAAAAACAAATTACCTAACACTAAATATTTTGACCAATCAACATTTTTCAATGAATTGAACTGGTAATTAATCAATAATGTTCTCATGTATATCACAAAATCAATAAACTGACTGAGAACTACAATTCATCTCTATGTAATCAATATATTTGCTTCTTAAAAGAAATCATTTAATAATAATAATATACTTTAAAGACAATAGTTACAGAAGTTATGCCAGTTAGTTAGTTGACAGACATGATCAGCTTGATATAGATAGTAATATAAGAATGTTTCAAGTTTTCTAGCTGAAAAATTATTTAAGTAGTATATTCATGACATGTATTACAGCAATGAAATACATCAGCCGAGAACCTTCAATTCTTCTTAAGTGAACATCTTGTTGATTTATGAACGGTGCATTTAAGAAATGAATTATTTATAATCATTTACAACTAGAGAAAATAAAATGAAAGCAGAGAACACAGAATGAAAAGGACAATCATCACTACGATGGGTTAGTCAGGTTTACTATCATACATATGTCAGGTTATTTTACAATATACCAGTCAAACTAATTAAGGCTGCTAGGGATGGTGTAAATGTAAAATGACAGCAGGTAGGTAAGTTTACTTAGTGAATTCAGTAATAAAAATGACTGAATATTTCAAGTTCCTATAATCTTACGAATGGAATAAGATGCACTTACAGATATAATAACATTCAATGTCTATTTTCGGAAGAGAAGTAAGTGTCGATTCAGCGAAAGAAATGGATGGGAATAATCTTATCTGACGGATAGATTGTGGTAGATTATTCCAGAGTCTATAAAATTTACTGTTAAATGAATTCATATAGAGAGATGATTTAGAATGTGATTGTTTCAGTAATGACAAAAAGTTAAGGATACTGTAACTAGAAGTTTCTGCATATTGAATTATTTTTCTGGACGTAAAGGATAGTTTATTAGGTATTTTGAAGTAGTCGATTAGATTTTGTTTGAGTCTCCTCTTCAACATCTTGTTGTGCTGCGAACCCACTGTGACTGGTAGTTCATGTTAATTGTCGCTGAGAATTTATCATTACATGACTGACAACTACCGGCATTCCAGTTTATTCTAGAGTAATTGAAATCTCCTATAGTAACCTTAGCATTCAATTTAAGGGTAGATGTGTGTACGAATGCATGATCCAAATTATTAGCGGATCTGTATGTACATCTCAGGAGTAGTCTATTATCCAGGATGTTGACTGATATCCACATAGATTCAGGCAAGCTACTCAAGATACTATCTTCAAATTAATTGTTTGTTAGAGAATTCAACGCATATATAAGACAACCACCCCGACGTTTAATTCCTCCGTTCCAGAGATAGTGTCGGTAGTTCCGGTTGATTAATTATAAATCAGACACTTCGGGAGAGCACCATTTTTTAGTGATAAGTATGAGAAAAGATTTAGCTAGTTAAGCTAAGGTCCTTAAGGCTGAAATTTTATTTACAGTTGAACGTGCATTGACAAACAATAAATTTAAGGAGGAAATATGGATCGTAAAAGAGTTGAGAGCTTTCCTATCGATACTATATATTTTAGAGATGACTGGACTATGGTTTAGTATGAGCGACTGATCGCATAAGTTATGGTTCGAAAAAACTATGGTGTTAGAGAGATTAGGAATTTCTGAAGACTAAGACAATCAGTGTTTTGATGAGGTGGACTTATTTGTTAAAATCGACTTGATGGACGGCTAGGAGAGTCACCTGCTTGTTGAAGTTGAGTTAATGGTGCCTAACCTAGTAATCTATCTTGCCTATCGGAAAAATGATAAGAAGTTATATGTTACAGATTCAGTATGTAAAACTTTTGGAGGCAACCATGGGACACATTGGTTCCTTCCAGTTCGCCTAATATTAGACCTGCTTACACGGAGGTTGTGGTATCCATCCTGTGAGTCATTTGCGCAAAGTATATTTGTTTGATTTAGAAAATAGGGCTGTGACAAGTCACTTAATGTTCGTAGGTTCATCTGGGATGAGTAAATGGTGGGTCAACTAGTTCTTGTCTGTGTGCTTATATAACCACCCCCCACGATTGGTAGGGTTAAACATGGTGTTGAGGAGTATATCTTTGTATGGTTGAGGCTTTGTATTATTTGTGGTACTAGTTTTAGAAATAGGCACTTGTGTATATACTTTCTTCTCATATGGTTTAGACTTTAATTTTTAGCAGTGTTTCGAAGAGCTTTTACGTCAGAACTAGGCATTTGGGTTTGCGTCTCTAATGTTTCATTGTGAGATATCACATCTATGTCTAAATCAGGTATACACTAGTTATCTGAGGCAGCTACATGCTTAAGTGGTGAGTTGGTGTTCTTCACTGATAAACCAGACTATTGGCTGACAGGCGATATGCTATTCTCATCAGTGTGTCTTTTTGCTAGGTTAGCAAGATACGTTGTGATTTCTACATAATTATTTTCGTTAAAGGTAGGCTTTTACGTAAGCTTTTGATTGATGATTCTATCTGAGACTATACGAGCATTCGTAAACCTCGTATGTGCGCAGATTAACTGTTCGGATTCCTTGAATTGTTCAGCTAATAAATGTGGATCGAATCTAAATAAGTTGGGTCACGAAAACTTCTGGTGCTTCTTTATTAGGGTGAATACATTTTCATGGACAGTATAGAAGTACCGAAGTTCGCGAAGTTCCTCGAAGTATTCAACCCATCTGTTACGCTGTTGTTGAATTTCGGTGATTGGCTTGCCTTCCTTGTCTTTGACCGGCCTCTCTGGTTTACTGTATTTCCCTGCTAGTTTCTTCGTTGTATCGTAAAGCTGTTTCATATTTCCTTCTCTAGTAGCCTTTTCAGCCATCGTTGCTAGTTCTTCCACGTATTTCTTCTTGTCGGCTCTAATGCTCCTCTTCACTTGTTAATTTGCTTCTATGTATTCAGCTTGTGCTTGGACTTTCTCTGCTCGTGTTCGGCTGTTGTTTACTGCTGTCTTCTTGTTCTTCCTTTCTTTGATCTTGTCCAGTGTTCCTGTAGAGATCCATTCCTTATGATGGTATTTCTTTGGACCGAGAACCTCTTGACACGTTGAAGTTAATGCTTCCTTGATGCCTTTCCAGTTGTCCTCCATAGTAGTTTCTTCTTCTTTCAGTAGATCTTGTAAGGCTTGGAACTTGTTGTTGAGAGCTATCTTGAATTCATTGAGTTTGTCAATATCTCGAAGGAAGGCTGTATTGAACCTTTGTGGTGCTGTTTGTCCACTTGTCTAGTTCTTTTTTAGCTTCAGTTTTAAATTGGCTACAACTAGGTGGTGATCTGAAGCAATGTCAGCACCTCTTCTAGTTCTCACAGTTTCCATTGTCCTTCGGAATTTCTTGTTGATGCAAATATGATCTATCTGGTTCTCTGTAGTGTGGTCCGGTGATATCCATGTAGCTTTGTGTATACGTTTGTGTGGAAATATTGTGCCCCCTATGACCAACTTGTTGGATGCACACAGATTTGCAAATCTTTCTCCATTTTCATTCTCTCTCCAAGTCCATGTCGTCCCATAATATCTTCATATCCGGTGTTGTCGATTCCGACTCTGGCACTTAGATTTCTCATTAAAATGATGAGGTCCTTTCTTGGGCATTTCTCTATGATTGACTGCAGCCGCTCGTAGAATTGATCTTTAATGTCGTCGTTGCTATCATTGGTGGGTGCCTAACATTGGATAATATTCATTAAGATCCCCTCCTTCTTTGTTTTGAATGATGCTTTGATGATTCTGGATCCGTGAGATTCCCATCCTACAAGTGCATTTCGTGCTACTTTGGACAGCATAAGAGCGACTCCCTGAGTGTGTGGAGCATTGTCCTCTTCGTGAACGGAATATAGCAGCACCTCTCCCGTAGCTAGCCTTCTCTGTCCAGCTTGGGTCCAGTGGGTTTCGCTGATTCCCAGTACTGCCAAGTTGTATTTGACTGGTCTTCCCGGTCTATCACATTGTTCGGACGTTCCATGTACTTATAAAAATTGTTGCTCTGGTTGTTAGAAAGGGCATCGGCCTCGTGGCTTCCTAAGGAACTCGGCTTTCACCATGAAGCGTCATAATTCTTCTAAATGAACACCTTCTAACTCTCAGGGCAGAGTTAAAATGGTTTGAATTATTTTTTCTGGTAAGCGTTTTTTTAGCGATTTACTTTTCTACGAGATGGGGGCGCTAACCCCATGCCCAACTTTCCTCCTTTACCCGGGCTTGGGACCGGCAGTAAATCTAGAAGAGCTACAGGCGGAGTTTTTCTTAATTAAGGTGATCATGGATTGATGGAGAACCCACAAGTGACTCCAATTTGAAACTCACATTGCTTACTTGCCTATATATAGTTGCAAATGCACTCTTTATATTAATCCACGTTAAGGAATGAACGGGAATTCAGAGAATAGCAAAAGTGTATTGTAGTTTCATTTAAACAAATTTCAATTCAGTTTTAGAAAAGATAGAAAATGTACTGTGTTGAATACTTCCATACTAAGAGGAAACGTTTATTCAGTATTCCACGGTTTTTAGTAGTAGTTTGGCTGAATTTATTTACTGATGTAAAGTATGAATATCAGTCAGTCAGTCAGTCAGCGACAACATAGGACCAGGCACATATATGCATCGATCCAAGTTGCCATTAACTCATTAACACAACGAAATGAACAACAAATCCATAGAATTATTTAATTCAATGGTGGTAGTATACAAAAGATTTTGTATAAGGATATAGTACAGGAAGAAGGAATTAGTTATGGAGCGATTTCAATCTCATAGCTTAAGAGAAGACAGTGTTTACACTGACGCCATTGTGATCGATTCTGAGCCATGTCACGCAGAGTCCCTAACCATTGGTTACGATAGGCTGTATCTACCAACATGGCTCAGACCAGAAATTAGTCACTTCAAGGACTGATGCCACGTTTTGGTTTGGCCGCCCCTAACTTTCTTCCAATCACCCCCAACACTACTCAGCAATTATAGATGTTAAGGGATTCATTTCATGAATAGCACTAAGGAACTTAAATCCTAGAGGTCTTCAAAATCAGAAGTCCTAAAATGTAACTTTATATTCAGAAAATGTCAGTAGTTAACCTCTGAACACCTTGCGTTGCTAACTGCTCGGTCAGTATCGCAACCCTCACACAAATCGAATGATTTCTTTGCCGAATATATATTCAGTACCTCTTTGTACCAAAGTTTATGTAGTGAAATAAGTAGTTCGATAATTATTGTGTATTATCTATATACAATTTGAAAAAAAAATTAAATAGAACTATGAATGAAGGCTCAGGACAGAATGGGTTGGAGAATGCTGGTTGGCGTCCTATGTTCCATCGGGAGTAGCAGGCGTAAGTAAGTAACTAAGTAATCTATATACAATTTATAAATAACCTGAATTGTAAATGGTGATACATATTGTATCGAAAAAGAAATATACAAAAAACCGTAATTTGAATGTTTTACAATCATTTGCATAAATGATATTCATCATCTTCCATAGAACGTTCCATTAATGGTGGCATACATAAATAAGGAGTAGGAGGAGGAGAAGAAGTGCAACAGGGAATTTCTTCAGATAACATTAGATTAGATAGATAAGAATGAATTGTATTATTTTGATCATTCACTTTATTACATTGCGAACGAACATCACTTGTATATGAATGGAAATTCTCTTTAGATTGTTTACGTTGATTTGGAATGTAAATATGATATAATGGTGTGAATGATGTGGATGTCAAATATGGATATAATGAATGATTCATTTTTAATTGTTTACTTCTTGGAGATTTGTTTCTTCTATAAATGGGGGATAATTCTGTAATATCAACTAGAGAAGTTATAAAAACAAAGAAATCTTCATTTAAGATCATATACTTTGAAGGGACAAGACTATAATTAAATGGATGAACCAATCAAATCTAAGATAACAGGTCTGGGTTTTTGGCACACAATTCATCCATCCATTTGGATAAATAACGTTTTGACGATTTAGTGGATGTTAGTTTGTGATATAAAAAATTATAGTCTCACCGCTATGAGTATTTTGAGTTTAGCGTCGATAACAATCCTGTTTGTAGGTTCGAGACCAACGTTAAAGTCGAAAACATTGAAACCACCTGACGAATGGTTTCGAATTCCGGATTTCAACCAATTGAACAATGATTATTGATACAAGTTTTGTTTGTTGAAACGAGTCCTAGAAAATGCGACGAAGCTTGTAAAAATTCTAAAGGAGTTGAAGAAAGTCCATTCAATCAGAACTCAATAGCACTTCATATAATATAAACATTTCATGCTAAGATTGGATAGTTTCTTGTCGATCGACTGGATTATATTGATGTTATAGCCTAGACCAAAAACTATAAATGTACCTGTTATTTCTCTACTCTTTCGACAGTTACTCAACATACGCTTCTTTTCTTTTTTAATTTGTGACTGTGGGCTTTACGAGTTCGATTACTGAAGTTATATATCATATTAGCTATAATCAAGTAGAGAACTTAATTAAGTTTAAAGTTTCAAGATGGTCTGCATTTTAGGTTTAGCAACGGAGTTTAGTATGTCACATTTGTATGAACGAGTTCCCGTAACATACTCTAGTATTTTTCTAGAGATACTTCATTGTTTAGTCGTAGTACCATATAATGAGATGATGGAGAAGATTTGTAGCTCAGGAGGTTGATTTTGATAGAGTTTTGGTCTCATTTCAGAGAACGAATCTTCATTCGAAAATACCATATAATTCATGACAATAATATACTATAACATAAAACTTTTAATAATGTTTGATGGCTTACATTCACTATCGATATGTCTAAGATTACTGCATCTATCATTGAAGTTGGTCGAATGTTTTGTTAATTGTATATTTGCTTCCAAAGAAAAAGCTTCATTAGAATGGCAAGCTAATGATAATTGTAAAAATAAGAATAGTGAAAATTTATATCAAATATATAAAATATTGTAGTGTGTGCTACTGATGTCTACAGATATAAGTAGTATGTATCATCAATCGAAAGTGAAATGTCTGGTGGCAGAAGGTTAAGAAGACCGAAGAAAGAGAATGACAACAATGAAGTCTGAGACGATTGATTGACATTTTGCAAATGAAGTATTTACTGTCAGTATGGGGTTTTGAAGAGTATTAAGTTTTAGATTGACATCAAGGAACGGTTAATGTTAGACCACTATGGAAAACCTGGAAGCACTAGATGGCCGTTGTGGGACTCCTCAACATTTCACATCCACGACCTCGCTGGCAGGATTCAGACCTAGGACCTATCTGTCTTGCACGACAACGCTTAACCCCTAACTCACTGAGCAGGCCGGCATCCAACGATGTCAATGTCTCACCTCAACCAATCCACGAGTTGCGCGTCCACCTTCCATTGTACTGAGGTAGATACCTGTCTCTACCCGATACGGATCGCCTGCATTTATTTACTGTATGGTTCTCAGATTTCATAAGAGATTCCGTAATTTCATGTCCAAATACATTCGATTTTCCTCATTTGTGTTCTCGTTCACTACATTATCATTACAAACAATCTATCCATTCAATATTAAGTTTATTTGAAATTATCGTGAAGGTTACTTATCTGAGGTCACAACTTCCCATATTCATTTTTCTAATTTGAAAATGAAATGTTGATTGGTTCCGTTAATTTGATGAATGTAAATGTATTTCGTTAAACCTTTTATATCATTATAAATATGCGCTTGTAGTGTCGATTGCTATGTTAAACCCATATAACTTGTAGTTGTTTCATATTTCTTTCTCTCTCAGTTTTTTCAGCTGTCGTTGCTAGGTCATCCTTGTATTTCTTCTTGATGGCTCAAATGCTTCTCTTCACTTGCTTGTGCCATGACTTTCTCTGCTATTTTTCGTCTGTTGTTAGTTGCTGTCTTCTTGTTCTTCCTTTTTCGAATCTTTTGCAGGATTTCCATAGAGATCCATTCCTTATGATGATCCTTCTTGAGGCTCAGCACATCCTAACACATTGAAGTTAGTGCTTCTTTGATTCCTTTCCAGTTGTTCTCCATAATAGTTTATTCTTCTTCTTTGATTAGATCATGTAAGGCTTGGAACCTGTTGCTGAGATTTATCTTGAATTTGTTGAGTTTGTCAGTATGTCGAAGGAAGTCTGTACTGAACCATTGCAATGCTGCTTCTCCAGTTTATCCATTCTTCTTGAGTCATGTTTTAGACTTCGTTAATTATTCACTTATCAATACTGACTATTTTTATATCAGCGAATGTGTGTGTACACTGCTTATCCTACTTGGCACATGCCTGTAGCTTATTTTTGTGTGACCGTAAACATTGATTAACGGTTGACTAAATCGAGTCGGTCCACACAACTTTCTCCACTACATGCCATTTCACTTCTCTTTCTTCGCTTCGTTTCACTGATCGTTTGTCTGTTCAGAAACTAGAATACGTTATATTGACTTAACATAATAAACGACACTACACTCAACTTTAAGTATCTTAATAACTGCATTATTTGAAATCGAATGTCATTAATAAAACCTAAAGTTAAACCATTGAGTTAGCCACCAATGCTTTATATCTTTAATTTTTATCCAATGTAATTGGTATTAGCTAAACACAAATCATTGGAATCGATCATATTTGTCCCAGATTCGATATCTTACGACCTGAGTGGATTTAATGGTAGAGTTGACTAGGACTTGACAATAAGAGAAAATAACCCTATTGTGTTTTCTGTTTTCCAGAACTATTCTAATTAGATTCAATTAGTGATATTCATAATTAAAGTGAAAAGCCACATTTTGTACAATTTAAAAACATATAGAACTCAAAACAACTGTCAACCAATATCAAGTCGCAATCTTAAACACGAACGTCATAACAGTTCTACTATACGGAGCTGAAACTTGGAGAATTACTACAGCAATCATCAAGAAGGTACAAGTATTTATAAATAGATGTCTACACAAGATACTCAACATCCATTAGCTGGGTACCATCAGCAACAGACTACTGTTGGAGAGAACAAACCAACTTCCAGCTGGAGAAGAAATTAGGTAAAAACGATGGAAATTGGTGGGATATATATTACGGAAACCATCAAACTGTATCACGAGGCAATCCCTAACTTAGAACCTGAGGGAAAAAAAAGATGTGGAAGACCGAAGAATACACTACGTCAGGAATTGGTAGCAGAAATGAAAAGGATGAATAGCAGGTGGGAAGAACTTGAAGGTATTGCCCAGAACATGGTTGGGTAGGGAATACTGGTAGGCTTCCTATGCTCCTCTACGAGGAGTAAGTAAGTAATAATTAAAGTTATTAATCTCCACAAACGTTTTTTTTGTCTGGTGACTCAGATAGTTAAATGAACAAATGAAAGTGAGCTTTAAATCCATAAAACATTTAAACATTAACCCTAATGAAGATTAAATTATTTTCAATAAAACATACTTGAAATTATCGGATCCTTCCGTTGTTGTGAACCCCAAATATTAAGTGAACTTATTTTGCATAAAAAAATAATGAAATGAAAAATATATTGAGAATGAATGCAGTTTGGAAAATTTATTCTTCGATGAAGAGTAAACAACCCTAAAAAAAATCTTAAAATAGATACCGACGAGGAAGGATGAAAAGCAGCTAAAGACCCTAACTCAATTACTGAAAGAAACTGAAGGTTTGAATTCTAAATCGCCAGTCCTCACAACAACGCAAAGAAATCCTTAATCACTAGTGGACCAGAATTCTGTTGATGAATCTCCGAAGGTCACAGAAGTCATCCAGGATGCATATGTAACCGTTCTTGTCTACCGACCAATTAACCTTCTTAACATCGATCCATATGCACAGGTATTATTGGTCATTTTTAACGACGTTGTAAGTAAAAATAATGATTGTACATAAATTTATGACAATTAATAACATTCAATTATATGTTGTATAATATTACTATTTATAGTGACATGAACAAATGTTTAATTTAATTGGTATCATGAATGAATCAATGTTAGACCACTATTGAAAACAATCGAAACGTCAGACAACTGTTTTGTCCTAGTATGAGACTCCTTAGCAAAGCGTACCAGTAAATGGCTTTAAGATGGATTTCCTGAAGTTCCAGTGAGAAGGAGTGACCAGTGGAGTTCAACAGTGTAAGCTGTGAAGCAGTTGTTGACTGAAAACAATGGTGGATGGTCGCACAATATCATGGAGTGGTTGAAGTTAGACATTAACCAACTCAGTGGTCCATAGGTTAAGCATTCATGCATGAAACACAAGGTCTTGTGTTCACGTCTATTTGGTGTGGGATCATGGATGAGCACCGCAGAGAAATCCCACAGTAAGACGAAACGGCCGTCCAGTGTTTCCAGGTTTTCCATGGTGGTCTAGCTTCAATTGAAACATGATCTCAACTATTGAAATTATGTCTGTTAACTGCATGTCTTGTTGTTACTTATGACCATTCAATATAAAATAAAGTGCATCTCAGTGTTGAACAACATGGAGAGAAACTTGATAACTAGAATTCGATCAGAGCTAAGGACTTAAGACACACAAAATTTTGAGTACTCTTAACTTACGGGTTTCAACAGGAATTAACAATCTACTTTGAAATTAATCAATGATTTTATTTGATGAGAATCCATAAACCGACCACTTTCGCACTACTTTTATGTCTAGTTGACTGTTTTGATCGACTCAATTGGAAACTAATTGTGCACTCATTTACGATGAAAATTCATGGCTAGTGGAGTTCAACCATGTCTAGCGGTAAAATGTTATTACAGATTATACTGAATGATCAAGTGATCAAAGTATAAATGGATCAAAGTTAAAAATGTGGAAAGTTATGTTATTGTCCAATGGTATAAATATAATAGACTCGTTTCGGCCTGCTTAAATACCTGGGCTACCTATTCTTGTTATCTAGAGATTTCAACAAGTTATCTATTTTTGGTTTGCTTTACCACTTCATTACGTTTATTAATCGCATAACCTATTCAGGTACGTTTATGGAAAGTTTACGACCTTTCATTGTACAAGTTAAAAAAGAGCCTAATCAGAGACATTATGTTTGCTAGCGATATCCATTGAAAGTGGTGAACACAGTTCAGATGTCGATTCCTGAACTGTTAACTCCTAACTGTCCATCACTCAATATGCTATCGTCAGGATCGACAAAGAAGCAAGAAATGGTAACATGTTGAAATACATTGTACTAAGAATTCTCTCTTATACCAAGAATATAATACTGAATAAAGCTAATAATGATTATTCCAGATTCCACTCCTAATAGCAATCGAAAGATTGAATAGTGAATCGATTTATTCACATTAATTATCTTTGATTTATATCTTCATCTAATTCTCATTGAATTTGAAGGGAACATATTAGAATATTCTTTCCTGTTATTAGTTATAATTTATAACTGTGGGAATAGTACACTCTCACGGTACAATACATGCTCTTTCTCATATAGAATAATAATCATAAGGGAAACGAAATAGTTTGTAGTTGAAATGATACAAATTGTATGTTCATTATCAACATCAACATTTGATGTTCCATTGAAGAACTGTATAGAATGCTTATAGGTTATAATCATACTAATAATCATAATAGTCCATGTGAATTATCTTCAATATCTACCTTCTATCAAAGACAAGTATCCAACTGTAGTATTTGTGATGAAGTGAAGCAACAGAGTGGATTCATTGAAGGACAATGATAATTTGATTTTATCATTTCAATGTATCACTAATGGTTTCTATGTTTCTATATGGGGATATAAGTGGGAATCGCTTAAATCATATGCGTGAATATCTTTTTTCTATTGATCAATATGATAAAAGATTTTCTATGATACATTTTGATTTATACTAAATTATATTGTGATTAATTTGGTTGGACAATTTATTGTTTGAATCTTCTCATTGTTGTTTAGGACTAGAAATGATCAGTCACTTATTAGTATATGCGCATGCTTGTGTAGATTGCTTCGCGATTGCCTTAAATCACAAGTTTTGTAAGCAACGATGGATGGATGGACGGTGGCTAACAGATCAATCCAGGACACGCGTTTCGTCCTATTTCGGACTCGTCAGTTGAATGTACCTACATCTCAGACTTGATGTCCACTCTGAGACTCGAACCCAGTACGATTTGCTTCAAACGCCATTGTGTTATCCACTCACACATTGAGTCCTGATAGCCACCTGCGTGAAATTAAATTCACTTGATGTAGTTGTTTAGGACTGTAACTAATCAATCTCTTGTTGGTATATGTGCATACTGTACGGATTACCTCGATGTAGCCTTAGATCACAGGCACTATATGCAAAAATGTTTCCAAACTCATAATATCAATTATGTCACAAGACTTAGAGATCAAGGGTCTTGTAAAAAAAAAATCAGATACTTTATTGTAGTACAATAATCAGTAATATATAATACATACTTAAGATTCTCCAGTGAGACGATATCAGTTTCAGAAAAAGTTGATCTTGTATTTCGGTTAGTTAATTCATCGTAATCTTTAGGTTTTTCTACAGAATTTCTACTCCCCAAATTATTGTGTTTATGATCTATAATGAGAATAATGGATAGTAAATAATATAAGGCATGGATTAGTGTTTTGTTTTACTCGGTTACTATGGATGAACGAATTCCATGGAATATTAATGACAATAACTAAATAGTTTGTAGTATATCACTAAGACTGTGGTTTTTTATATTTAGTGTGATGTAATTCAATGAATTCTAATATAGAAATTCGATATTCATCTCAAGTGATCTACGTTAATGAGATGAAGGAGAAGATTTGTTGATTAGGTGATGGAGTTGACCTTAAACCTGTCACTGTCAGCAAGAACCAATCAACATCGAGACCTACAGGACAAGCTATGAACCATATCAGAGAAATTCGAACACTTCACTTCTACCTGAAGTTTGTGCTGATGATGTCATTCAGAAGAACGATAAAAACTCCACAACCAAACCATCAAGCTCACAACCAAAATTTCATCAAGATCATCCACCTGAGCCAAACTTGAAGAACTTATAGAACTAAAAATAACTGTCAAACAACGGCAAATTCTGAATTTTCAATACAAACCTCGAAACAGTTAGTTCTATAGTACGGAGCAAAAACATGGAGGACAACTACAAACACCATCAAATAGGTACAAGTAATTCTAAACAATTGTCTACGTAAGATTCTCAATGTCCGTCGACTGGATACCATTAGCAACAACCTGCTGTGGGAGAAAGTAAATCAGCTTCCAAATGAAAAGCAAATTCGTAGTAGACGTTGGAAGTGGATAGGACTTAAATTGAGGAAATCGCCAAACTGCATCACAAGGCAAGTACTAAATTGGAATCCTGAAGGTCAACGGAAAAGAGGAAGACGAAAGAACACATTTCATCGGAAATCAGAGGCAAACATGAAAATAATGAACAGCGACTGGAAAGAACTAGAAAGGACTGTCCACGACAGAGTTCGAAGGGGAATGTTGTTGAGCGGCCTTTGCACCTCGACGACACGTGACAGACGTAAGTAAGATGATTTCGTAAAATAATACTCTATTTTTTTGAGTAAGTTGACGTGTCGCTCAACTTCGTGAATTAGTTGAAGTTAGACAATAACACTATCGGATGCCGGCTCAGTGGTCTAAAGGTTAAGCGCTCGCGCGCGAGACTGATAGGTCCTGGGTTCGAATCACGCGAGGAGGGGTCGTGGATGCACATTGCTGAGGGGTCGCACAGTGGGACAAAACGGCCATTCAGTGCTACCAGGTTTTCTATGGTGGTCTAGCTTCAATTGATTAATAAATTTAAGTCTAATCTATCAGTATTGTATTCAACTACAAAACCATGAAAGTCACAGTTCATTTTCGTTTTTTTACAAAATTTTGAAAAACTTTTGCGATTCGTTCAAATTAAGTTGAATGGATACTTACAAAACTACTACTACTACTACTACTACTACTACTACTACTACTACTACTACTACTACTACTACTACTACTACTACTACTACTACTACTACTACTTTTTGAATCAAATCAGTACTTTCAGTTTCATGTCATCAATGTTTTTGATAGTCATTAAGAAAATAGACGATTATCATGCTGAGTTTCAATAATCATTATGGTGTTTTTAATGACATTCAGTCATAAATACCATGTCATCAAGTCAATTGAATATAAACATCATTACTTATGTATTAAGCTTATAGGAAATTCAATTGTAATATAGTAAACATGATTAATTGACATAAATTTGCTATTTAAAAGTGGTCAAGGAAATGTAGTCAGTGATTCATTCATTCATTTTACGTACTACATGAAAGTATGATGACTTTATGACAAAAAGTAGTTGATTGTAAATTACAAAACCTCTATGCAATAATGAATTGAACATATGTCTTGATCATTAGAGTTATACAAACCAAAGTTAGTAAGCTTTTTTTGTCATGATTCATAGTTGCTTTTTAATGGTGAGTCACATAAATTCTGAATAACTAACAACATACTGTGATATGTACTACTGATATAAACATGAGTAGTATGTAACAACAGTCAGGATTAGAATGTCTGATAGCAGAAGGTCGAGAAAGAAAGAAAGAAAGAACGGAAACAGAAAGTAATTGGTATGAAAATACAAGAATAAAGAAGTCTGAGATGATTGACTGGTATTTACCAAAGGAACAGTCAAGTTTGAGACAATTGATTGATATTTTGTAACGGAAGTATTCACAGAATGGTTCTCAGATTTTACTAGGATATTCTTCAATGCTGAATTCAAATGCATTTCATTGTCCCCATTCGTGTTCTCGTTCACTATAGTACTAGCGAGGCTACACTTGAGGATGATAGTATACCAAAACTGTGATAATAAGTAATTGTAAATGCTTCCTAGCTGATTCTTTTGACGATGGTAGATATGTAGCGTACAGTTTAATGAACAACATCTTCAATGACAAAATATACATATTCAAAGGATAATCAGACAACAAACTAACATTTTTGGGGATGATGACCATCAGAACCAAGGGGAAAATCTTGTAACTCAACGAAATCTGCAATGAACACATACCAATCATATACTCAGATACAATGGTGACAACTCCGTAGCTCACAAAGTAAACTGTACCCAATCACTATTTTTAAAAAATAGCAAAGATATATTACAACACCGCTATTACAGGGTTAAATGAAGTAAAATCGCTGATGGACGTATTTTGACTGCCCATAAAATTTGATTAAGAAATATTTATCAAACTACCAAATGGATAGCTTCATCCCATAGAGGAATAATATCCCTGAGATCACAAGCAGATTATTATAGCCACTAGGAATAGTTGTGAACGATACAAACTAAAAGGTACAATGATAAACGAAAATAATTTGAACATAATCCGTAAGATAAGTAGTGGCAACTGTGAATTTAATAGGCGCCCTTTCTATCTACGTCTAAGTGAACATCAGTTGGCTGTTAAATATCATTGCAAAGATTTACTTATATCAGTTCATGTGGACAAATGTAGACCTGAAGTCTACTCAGAAAACGTCGAAATATTGGACAGAGAGAACTCAAGAAAAGCCAGAAAATTTTTCTGAGCTTTGTACTCTTACCTAATACTAACCAACAGATACATCAAAACTAATTAAACAACTAACAGGAAAAAGGAATAACAACTGTATTGTCAGGGTTTTGGTCGGAAGAGAGAAAAACCATAGCAAACATGCAAACAAGGACCAAGTAGTTATTGGTAAAAACGAACCAAATTTCAGGCTAACAGAACAAGAGCTTCATCAGTTGTAGAGAAGTTTTAATACATCAAATTCGACTACTTCACTTCAACCTGAAGTTTGTGCTGATGATGTCATTCAGAAGAACGATGAATGCTCCACGACCAAACCATCAAGCACAGAGAACAAAACTCCGTCAAAATCATCCACCTGACCTACAAATCTTCTCCACCGTCTTAAAATTCAATACATAACTTCTCTTTTAAGTACGCCCTGACAGTATTATTTAGAAAGACGATGAAGGCCTCACGGTTAATTTATTCACCTAAGAGATCTCAACAACTGAAACATCTGCATCTTGAGCTATAAATATTCTTCGTCATCACAATATCACCCATAAAATGATGATCTTACTGAAAACTGACCTAAAGCATTTAAATGAAGGCACAGCTAGATTTAGTCGTGGAAATTTTCTTGCTTACTCCTGTTACCCCCAACGGAGCATAGGCCGCCGACCACCATTCTCCAACTCATTCTGTCCTGGGCGTTCCTTTCCAGTTCCATCCAATTCTTTTTCATTTTTCTCATGTCGATCTCCATTTCCCGGCGTAATGTGTTTTTTGGTCTTCCTCTTTTCCTTTGGCCTTGAGGATTCCATGTGATGAGGGTTTGCCTTGTGAGGTAGTTGGGTGCTGTCCTCAATGTGTGTCCTATCCACTTCCAGCGCTTCTTCTTGATTTATTCCTCCACTGGGATCTGGTTTGTTCTCTCCGACCGTAGGTTGTTGCTGATAATATCTGGTCAACGGATCCGAAGTATTTTGCGTAGACAACTGTTATTTAACATTTGTGTCTTCTGGAAGATTGATTTCGTAGTTCTCCAAGTTTCCGCCCCACTCAATAAAACTGTGTTGACATTTGTACTGATAATTCTGACTTTAGTGTTGGTTGACAGACAGTTGTTTTGAGTTCCAGACGTTTTTTAATTGTAGATATGTTGCTTTTGTTTTGCCAGTCCGCGCCTTCTTCACGTGGAAATGTACCGAATTTACTATTTATAACCATTCATTTAGGTTTTCTTTAATCTTAGAATGACAGCTAACTTCTGATATTGACTCAAGGAAGAAATGATAAATTAGATTTTAAGGTTTTCAAATATGATATCTCTCAGTTTAATGCTATACGATAGTCACTTGAAAGTCATGTATTTTATGACAACAGTGAAAAGAATTTTTATTGCATAACACTAAGAAAACTTGTTACATGAAATTTGAGTCCAGTTATGTCATTTATATATCGTATCTCTTTTGCAAACTCCGCCTGTAGCTTTTCTTGAGTTACTTCCGTTTTCAAGCCCAGGTAAAAGTCAAGGTTTGGGCATGGGGTCGGCAACGTCATCCCGTAAAAAAAAATCTTGCTAACAAAAACGCCAACCAGGTTAAACGTCTTTTGAAACTGGGAGATCATTCGTTAGATTACAAGTTGGATTATTTCACAATAGAATGATATATTGTGTGAAGTGTTAGCGTATGAGGACTTCGCATAATCTAAATGAAGTTTAACATATTTAACAAGTATAGAGGAAGTTCTGTAGATCGGTAAATTCGTAGCTTTACATCACTGATCTACTACTTTGACACTGAACAGCTATTTCTCCTTTTATATCTATAGACCCAAGATTTTATTACTAATTGGATTATAGATGCCCACCGTTGAATGGTTCCATACTAAAATGAAACAATTATTCAATATTTCTTAGTTTTCAAAAGTTATTTACCTGAATTCATTCTTTGATATAAAAACTACAAATACTGAATAAGAGTTTTATATTCAAAAATGTATATCATAAATATTAAACAAGTTTAAAGCATACTGGTGAGCGTTTTTTTAGCGAGTTAGTTTCCTACGGGATGGGGTGGCTAACGCCATGCACAACCCTCCACATTTACCCGGGCTTGGGACCGGCAGTAACTCTAGAAGAGCTACAGGCGGATGGAGAATGCTGATGAGCTGCCTATGCCCCTTCACGAGTAGTAACAGGAGTAAGTAGGTTAGTAAAAGCACACTACTTTCATATGATTTTGGGATGATGGAGAAGAATTGTAGGTCAGGTGGATGATTTTGATGGAGTTTTGATCTCTGTGCTTGATGGTTTAGTTGTGGAGCATTCATCGTTCTTCGGAATGACATCATCAGCACAAACTTCAGGTAGACCTCTATCACGACCAAATCACCCAGCTTAGAGAACAAAACGTCATCAAAATTCAAAGAATGTTGTTCCATACTTCAACTGATCATATAAAGAAAACAAAAAAAGGAGAAAAAGCAGGAAAAAAAATGTAACTTACACCGATATGATGTTCTTAATGATGATTGTTCTGTATAAGTTTTTGTTTTATATAAAGGTAAATCATAAATATTTCGTTTCTTATTTAATCTCCATGTCATATCTGACATAGAATAAACATGTTTATGTAATTTATTGATTTTATGTAAATTTTTTAAAAATTTTTGTTTATTTCTTGTTGCCCATAAACGTAACTGTCATAAACAGAAAACAAAAAGCAAGAAAGAAGTAAAAATAAAAATAAAATTTATAATGAAATAAATATACTATTGATTATCATTATTATTGCAAATTAATGTATTAGCCCCCCGAATACCCTGGTACAGTTAAGGATGGGGAGAGTCAACTCTCTCTCTCTCAAAATGCTCTCATATGATCACAGGCATACATATACTGTCAGAGAAGTCCTACTCACTGTCTTCTCGAGGCGTGGGTGTTGTTTATAAAAGTAAAAGGATGAAAAGAGAATGTTCGGCACTTTAAACGGGTTGGTGGATACGGTCAGTTTACCGACGAAAGTTGGAAAACCCTGATTCCAAAACATTAGTCCACATGGGTTCCACGATCCTGAGTGAACAAATAGTGTATGAACATATTGTTGGTCACCGGCTAGCATGGGAATACATTTGCTTCACTCCCTTAAGAATTGAACCTTCAGGTCGAAGGCTCGGGATGTGGCTCCCTATAAAAATCACCTGCTTTGGTTTAAGCACCCGGGTAGTATCCTAGTCCTCACAGAAACCGAATGATTTATGTGGCGCATATATATTTGATGCCTTCTTGCACCTATGTTTATCTGTTTAAATAAATAAATAAATAACTTAGAAAAAAACAATGGAGTTTTGGACAATTATTTTGTAGTGTGTACTACTGATGTCGACAGACATTAGTAGTACGTATTATTAATTGAAAGTGAATTGACTGATGGTAGAAGGTTAAGAAGTTCTAAGAGAAGAGAACGAGAACAAAGAATGATTGGTGTGAAAACGAAAGAAGAATGAAGTCTGAGACGACTGATTGACATTTTGCAAATGAACTGTTTACTGAATGGTTCTTAGATTATACTAAGGCGTTCTGTAATTTTGTGTTCAATTACATTCGGTTTTCCTCATTGATATTCTCGTTCACTACAATATCATCATTATTACAAATTGATATATTAGCTCCCAAATACTCTGGTGCGGCCGAGAATGGGGACAGTCAATTCTGATAAACGTCGTCTTCTCATTACATTATCGAAATAAAATTGTTTGATTGTTTTTAAAGAAAAGTTTAAAAAAAGAGATACATTTGTTGTATTCAATGATGAATGACATACATCTTGTATATTGGAACTTTCAACAGAGCATACTGTAACTGTTATATCCTAGTGAAGATTAAATTACGGGTAACTTCGTAGAACTATTAATGACTTAATATGATGCAATACATTCTTATTGTATAACTATTCAGTAACTTGATTGTGTATATCTATATGCATCTTATTTTAACCTATAGATTATTATTATACGATTTAGCGTCCTTGAGTTATGTCCAGTCTATTAATTACAGTCTATCACATTCACAGCCACCTTATGACTTGATCTTGTATAAATGTTATTTCCTATTTTATAGTATGATTTGGTCTGTTTGAAATAAAGTTTGAAATAAATGATCTACGTAGTGCAAGCTGGTATTGGCATTCTGGACTCAACTGGAAGGGCTACAAGAAAAAAAGGATTAATAAAGACACTATGTTGGTCATATCGGTTGAGTGTCATTGGTTTGGGATAGTACTGAGATTGCGCCATAGGCAAACGTTAATTACTTGATAACGGTTATCCACAAAATTTAATAACTAAACATAGATCAACTGTAACAAAGGAAGTGAAATATGCTACGGCTGAGAAAAACCTGACTTCAAGGGTTATGAAATGGACGGAAATGTAGCTTTCGGACTAAGGACAATACTAACAAGGATTTATCCAGAGGCTAAGCTGGTCTCTCATTAGGTAATCAAAAACAATGTTTCATTATTTTTTATAGGAGTTAATCAAGATGATCCTGTTGGGGTGATTCAGAAAATTTTTTGCAAAAGATAAGCAAGGATCAGGAAACACTAAGAAGCGTTTCCTCCAATCAGCGTTCACTTGAAGTTTTAACCAGAAATATCAAGGAAGTGAAACGTCACATGTAGAGGTTCTGATTGGCTGATTGCTATACAGCTACTATGTTAATTAGCATTCCAGAATCTTCGAGCAACCGAAGGACATTTAAAATATTAAAAATACCCTATATTTTCTGCATTGAAATGAACCTTGGAGTAAAGTACTTCTCTCATACTTGGCGTCTTCTCTCTCGTTGTTCAGGTCGCTGTATAGTTCTAGCTTGGGGGGGTTACAGAATAGCTTAGGAAACGAATATAGCGTTAAATTTGCAAGACTAATCAAATAAAAGGAGCTGGCAGTCAAAATATGTTTCATTAACAAAGAAGAAAGAATGATAAATTTCTCTAAAACTTACATTAGCAACCATATTCAAAGTACTTTCTCCATAATTTCGATGTGGTAATTTTGGCGGTTGTTCATTTGAACATTTATCTGAGATAACATCTTGAAAACATTGATTTTCATATGAGCGTAAACTACAAGACGAATAATCTTTATAAAATGGTCTAGAATCCAATTTCTTGTTAGTTGGATAGTGAGTTTTATTGGATTTCAATTCAATTAATTCACAATAGACATGTGCATCGGAGACAACTGAATCCTATTATGATAATGCATGGAAAAAATAATAAATTAACGAGTGGAACATCTTAACCAGATCATTAAAATGTCTCATTGTCATAGTTTTAATGAAAAGTTGTGGTTGAGGTTGTTAAACCATGTTGGCTTTAAGATGATCATCGTTGATCGTTGTTTTGTATCTCTAATAGAAGAGATTTGAGGTATTGGACATCAACACAATGGTAAAGAGACTGAGTATTTTTCGTGAGAACAAAAGGTTCAAAGTTGAACCCTTGATGTGGTTGTAATCACGAATTGATGAAAACTTTCATGCTAGATCGAAACAGTTATTCAGTACTTTCCGGTCTTAGTTACAGCTTCGATTGATGGCAAAACACCTCAACAAGATTTTATTGTTCTGTAGCTGAGATTTAACGAATACAAATCTATCTAATATTTGTTGCTAATCGAGTTCTACTAATCACACTGGAATGTGTCTACTTGTCTAAGCGACTGTACGCTTTACTTTTATGTAAATAGTTAAATCCATTCAGTAGAAAGCAGGCTTCTTGCACCAGGAGTGTTGTTTATGAAAAGCGAATGTCCAGTATGGGCTTTAACCGGATCAGTGGATATAGAGAATCCACCTAGAGAAGTCGGGAAACCCTTATTCCAAATCAATGATGGCCATGGGTTTCAGTATCCTGAAGGAAACAAATGGTGTATAAACCTATTGTTGGTCACCGGCTAGCATAGGACTGCATCTCCTGACGTTGCTTCACTGCCTTGTGGATTAGACCCGTAGGTCAAAGGCTTGAGATGTGGCCCTCTAAACGAAACCATATGCTTCGGTTTGGGAACGCGAGCAGTATCACGACGCTCACATAGATCAATAATAAATGCTATAGGCCTCATGGTTATTGTGTGAAGCATATGTATTTGGTGCCCCCCCCTTTGCATCAATGTTTATGTGTTCAAACAGATCAATACTATACGTAAACAAGTCTATCGTTACTCAATATCACTATTCTGTTGTGTTCTATTGATGACCACGACTAGATTGAAATCAAAAAAACATGAAGCAATATGAACTGAATCTGCATAAACACGTCATTTTAAACTGCTTACTTAAGCTGGAACATTGAATAAGATTGAACATTTGTATGTGTGTGCGTGTGCAACTTATTTTCTAAACACAAATAGATGTACTCAATAGTTCCTTACTCATTTTGTATGATAATTCAAATCACATAACGTAAAATAGAATTAGGAACTGAGTTCTATTAATTGAATGTTAAATGTTTCAATCCGACAGTGCATCCGATAGTTCCATTGCTTACAAAATACCGATGTCTATTTATATATAACACTTAGAATATGAATTCACTTTGTGTTGTTTTACTTGTATATTCCTATTGTTATATAGGATTGCAAATGAACAGTTCCATGTTGGCATAGGTGCATCCTGTTCGAATTGTATCAATATAGCCTTAAGTCACAGGCTTCTTAAGCAAAGATGGATAGTGTTAGCAGTGGAATCCAAGATGCTTGTATCGTCCTATTTGGAATACGTCAGCTGGATGTATCTTTATCCCAGAGTTGTTGTTCACTCTGGGACTCAAACTCAGTACCGAAACGCGCGTCGTGGATTCGACTGCTAGCCACTTATCCATCTTTTCTCACTTAGAATATGGTTATTAATTTCATTTTTTTCAAATGAGAAATCAGTATCTAGTTTTGAGGATCAATTGAAAGGGTGAGTAACAGGTAACATTATAGTTCAATATATTACACAAAATGCTAGTATACATTGTGAGTGTATACTCGAAATAAAATCAATCATAGTACCTGACTTGTCCAAATATTTCTAACTAGAAGACGATCTTTCGCATATGGTTGATGAACTGACACTGATGAATGATCCCATAATGATGAATGTGTTGATTGTAATGTATCTTTCAAAGGATATTGAATTGCTGAATAAATTGGATCAAATAAATCACTTTGTGAATCACATTGTCTATATGGTGATAAATGATAATGAGTAGTGGAATTTGATGATATTCTGTTTGAAAATTGTTGTATAACACTTTTAGTATCCGTCCAAATAGGATAACCATGATAGACTTTAGCTTTTCTACCTTGTTCTTTTAAACTATTAGCTTTTTGTTTAATATGTTGTCTAAAATTAAAATAAATCAAATAAGTAGTACATAGATTTATAACAAAAAAACATGTTTAAGCTCATGACAGTATTGTTTGTTTTTCAAAGCAAGAAAGGTAATTTCCATAGGCATAAAGAGTTCATCAATTTGTGTGTGGGCTGTGATACTGCCCGGGTGCCCAAACCGAAGCAGGTGGTTATCTTAGGGGGCCACTCCCCGAGCCTTTGACCTAAAGGTCTAACCCACAAGGCAGTGGAGCATCGTAAGGAGATGCAGTCCCATGGTAGCCGGTGACCAACGATTGGTTCATACGCCATTCGTTCCCGCAGGATACGGGAGCCCATGTGCACCATTGATTTGGAATCCGGTTAAAGCGCCGGACATTCGCTTTTCGTCCTCTCATTTTCGTAAACAACACCCCCGCCACGAGAAGGCAATGAGTAGGACTTCCCTGGCAGAGGCTGTATACGCGTGGCCATGTGAGAGTATTTCGAGAGGGAGAGCGGACTCTCCCCACTCTCGGTCGTACCAGGGCATAAATAAATAAATCATGACAGTATTTCAACGTAGCATAAAAGGGTATTTACTGAAGATCAACCTAATACTAAAGATTATATTAAATGACTGAGATAACCAATTTGACTATCTACAAAACCTGATCTATACAATCATCTAGCGAATCCCGCTCTCTATAGGACTTGTATTTGTATGGTCCAACCTCCAACATCAATTAGTAGATATGTAGTGATAATAAATCGTAATCTATGACTAATATCAGCTTGCGTGGGAAATATAACTCCATTAAATTTAATGTGTAAGATGCCTTAGTTCTTTTTGCAAAAAGGAATACTTTCATATGTTGATCGGTCATGAATAGAAAGAAAGAAGGAAGAAGTAGAATTTGTCACTAGCTATCTCTACTCATAACTCAGTGAATAATGTAATGAATTATGAATTGAAAGGTACTAGGTTCGAGTCTTGCTGTGAATATCAACATTCGATTACAAGTATATATTTATCTGACAAGCTGCAAATAAAGCGGAAATTGGTTGTGGATTCTATTACCAGACACAAATCAACTTTACGACAGAATGTTTTCAAAGTAAGTTTTGAGATTTTATAATTTGCTTTTCACCGGGTGAAAATGATTTAAAAAAAACATGAAACAGAAGTAATTGTTCTTCGTGCATATTGCCTCAACATCGCCTAAAATCACAAGCTTTATAAGCAAGGATGGGTAGATGGTAGCTAGTAGTAGAATCCAAGTCGCGTGTATCGTCCTATTTGAAAATCGTCAGCTGGATGTACCTGCATCGTGTTATTCACATAGCTACTGAGTCCTGATAGCCACCTGTTTGTGCAATGGGGTGAAGTTTAAATTCACTTATTGTTGTTTTACTTGTATCTTCCCATTGTTATTTAGGACTGCAATTGATCTGTCTCATGTTGGCATATGTGCATCCTGTTCGAATTGTCTCGATATAGCCTTAAGTCACAAGCTTCTTAAGAGATTTTTTACATTTCATATAAACACAGATTTTTCAATTATTCTACATACTGATATCATTTTATGAATGAAAACTATGCAATATCAACAAAGAGTTTTCAAATAGTAGTATAATTAAGAAAGGGGGTTTTTGTGGAGATTGTAGTAATTTTAATAGCTGAAGTCTTGAGTCGATTAAAGTTAGGCCACCATGGAAAACCTGAAAACATTGGACAGCTGATTCGTCCTTGTATTGGACTCTTCAGCAGTGTGCATTCACAATCCTGCACACTATACTCGAACACAGGACCTATCGTCTTGGGCACTTGATGATCTAGAGGTTAGGCGTTCTCGCGTGTGAGGACGGCCCACGGGTTAACTCGAGGAGGCTCTAAATAGTTCAGAAAGAGCCGAAGACATTCTATCTAACCATATTTTGGAAGAATATTCCAGAATCCCTACGTGTAGCTTCTCTAATGGACAAATGCTAATGACCCCCTGTATGCGGATTGAAGGACTATAATGATGATTTCATTTTTACTAAAAACTATAAATATCTAAGAGTTCTATATCATACTTGACATTGTTTGGAGTAACATTCTACCTCACTTGTCTTCTGCCTTTTCATTTGAAACTTTGAGGGTTCTAGCGGTATATCAAGAATCTAAGCTTTAGATAATAGCAGCGCACAGGATCGTGGATGTGAACAGCTAAAGTGTCGCATACTAAGACGAAACAACCATCTAATACTTCCAAGTTTTTCAATGATGATTCAGATATAATCAACTCATATATTCAACTATTATCATTATCTCAATCATATGAAATTAAATTAGAATGATTCATAAATTTCATTATGTATTGTTTATGCTTTACTTTAAAAGTTTATTTTAATTCAATAATATGCCGTTTCATTAATTGTATTATTGAATAAAGAACTAGAACTATGTTAAGTTAAACAATAAATTGATTAGATTTATACCATTAAAGGGAAGTTATAAATAATATAAAAAGACTATAATCATAAAGTTGTACCGAACTTAATGTTTTGGCGGTGAAACTATAATTTATGAATAAACCAATCAGATTTAAGATATCAGGTCTAGGATTTTGGCGCTCAATTCATTTACCCATTTGGTTAAATAGACTTTTGACATTTTAGCTGATATCAGTTTGTGATGTAAACTTTAAATCTAATTTTCAATGTTTAACCATCAACTGTAAATCGTCATTCTAATTCCTAATACTCTGGCTTATAACTCTCATTTGGTTCTAGTTACTAAGTGGATACTTTCAAGGTCAGTCTAGTATCGCTCAAAGATTGTTCATAAGTTGTAATTTCACCGTTCTTAACTTTCACATTATAATTTATTAATTATTCTATATAACGTAAAAATGTATTGATATATCCGTAGTATTGTTGATCAACATTGTGTATTGGTTTCAATTCTACTAAATGAATAGACTATAAGAGAATGATTTAAAGAAGAAAAATTTCCCCAGTAACAATGATAATTTGTAACATGCCATTGGATATCATAGCACGTAAACAATGGCTAACAATCATGAGAATTGATCAAACCCTGTCAAAGAGACTTCGGTTTACTGTAGCATTTGTTATACAAGTTTAAGATTCATGATCAATAGTAAAGAAGAAAGTAACCCAACAACAATGGGAAGATTCAAATAAAGAATACCAAGTGAATTAAACTTCACCTCATTGCACAAACGAGTGGCTGTCATGATTCAGTAGTTGAGTGGATAACATGAAGGCGTTTGAAGCGAACGGTACTGTGTTCGAGTCCCAAAGTGAACAATGAATCTAGGATGCAGTTACATAAGGCTGACGAGTCCCAAACGGGATGAAATGTGCGTCCTAGATTCCACTGCTAGCCACTATCTATCTTTTCTTATTCCTTAATAGTTATGATCATTCAAATAAGTTTTTTTCTTTTGAAACTATTTATAATCAAATGAAGGTTAAGGATGTTAAATGAAACTAGATTTTGAAGTAGGTAGTAAGTATTATTATCAAGAATTATTTGGGGGGAAATTAGTGACCTTGAGCGCTGTTAGAGGTATGAAGGCGGTTAGCAATTCCCAATCACCCACACTATGGAAGGATTCTTCTACAGGTACCTGAAAAAAAATTCTGTTAGGGGTGGTCTTCGTGACCTGAGAGGATAACTACAGTGCCCATGGGTTAACTGCTTGGGGTCGGTTACACACGACATTTTTGTGAGCTTTGACATTTTTAATAACTGTATCACTGCTAACCTATTTGTGTTCAATTAACTATCTCCAAATTTAATTACTGAATTGAAAATACTTTGTAGGACACAGTACTGGATTCTCTATCAGGGTCACATTCAAACTCCCAATTCATAATGAAAAGACTTATCAATCTCTTGTTAAATGATCAACTAAACAAGACAGCAAGATGGAACAAAAAAACACATGGCAATAACAAAATTTGTGATGATAACCAGTCATAAGGAAATTTGATGGATTGTACCAACTTAACATATGTAAACCAACAAATGTACTGACTCTTACTCGATGACATTATCTAGAATAACAACGAAAGCTTCATAGTCGAATCATCAATATGAAGGAATTCACTATTACCAATAAATGTCTATTTGAGCTGTGAATTTTCTTCGTCATATCAAAGTTAGACTTTAATGTTGAGATGGAATAGTTCAAGCATCTAAATTTAGTTTATTAATGATATGTTGAATCCATTATATCATTATCATTGAAAGGTTACTAATTCATTATTTATGTGGTTTAACTACAAATTTATGTTAAAAAATAATCATGTTTTCGATAAGAATGATGATTTACCATAAACTGATACTTTGATTTAAGTAACTAAGTCTCTTTTCTACTTGAACAAATGTCTCTTTTATATCAATCTTCACATGCTAGCTACACTTATATGGTGGGCAAGGGTGCTTATTACTTAAATTTGACCTTTATTGGATATATATAGAATGAAAGTAATCAGAAGGGGATTTTTGTGGAGATTGTAGTAGTTTAATAGTTGAATTCATGAGTCAATTAAAGCTAGGTCACTATGGAAAATCTGAAAGCACTGGACACTTAAACTGTAGGCCACTGATCCGGCTAGCATCCAACGGTGTTAATGTCTACCTCCAGATAATCCACCAAATTGAGCCACTGTCCACCATTATCTTCAGTAACTTACTATCTCACAACACACCCGAGTGAACGCCACTGGTCATTGGCTCCTCACTAGAACTCCAGGAAATACCTCTTGAAACCAGTCATTAATGAGCATATGATGATTATTATCAGAAGGGGATTTTTGTGGAGATTGTAGTAGTTTAATAGTTGAATTCATGAGTCAATTAAAGCTAGGTCACTATGGAAAATCTGAAAGCACTGGACACTTAAACTGTAGGCCACTGATCCGGCCAGCATCCAACGGTGTTAATGTCTACCTCCAGATAATCCACCAAATTGAGCCACTGTCCACCATTATCTTCAGTAACTTACTATCTCACAACACACCCGAGTGAACGCCACTGGTCATTGGCTCCTCACTAGAACTCCAGGAAATACCTCTTGAAACCAGTCATTAATGAGCATATGATGATTATTATCAGAAGGGGATTTTTGTGGAGATTGTAGTAGTTTAATAGTTGAATTCATGAGTCAATTAAAGCTAGGTCACTATGGAAAATCTGAAAGCACTGGACACTTAAACTGTAGGCCACTGATCCGGCCAGCATCCAACGGTGTTAATGTCTACCTCCAGATAATCCACCAAATTGAGCCACTGTCCACCATTATCTTCAGTAACTTACTATCTCACAACACACCCGAGTGAACGCCACTGGTCATTGGCTCCTCACTAGAACTCCAGGAAATACCTCTTGAAACCAGTCATTAATGAGCATATGATGATTATTATCAGAATGGGGTTTTTGTGGAGATTGTAGTAATTTAATAGTTGATTTTATGAGTCAATTAAAGCGATCAAGATCTTGGATGCGTACTGCTGAAGAGTTCCGTACTAAGACAAAATGGCCATCTAAAATGTAGTTGCATTATAAAGTTTACATTAAATTACAAATCAATAATAATTAATCATTACATACATATTTAATCCAAAAGTTCCTTTATCATTTAGCTTTTTCTGAATTGTTATTTTGTTTAAATTATCATTTTCAATTCTATTCAAATGGATTGTATTCTGATAGTCTTCAATAGGGTTATCATTTATAATATGTGAATAATTAGATTGTTTTAATAAATTAATATGAATGAAAGTATTTTTCCAATGAAGAAACTTCTTTGCAACTTTGATGAACTAATAGTTGGAACAAAAAAAAGAGAAAAAAAGGAGAAAAAAGAGAGAAAAAAAGAAAAAAAGAGACACACCAAAAAAAACATATTGATTGATGTATGAATAGAATAAATCTGAAATGTTTATTTCATTCATTTTGTTAAATAATGTTTCATAATCAGTTAGTCTATCAGAGTGCTTAGTATCTGTGTGGTTGCACCACTGGATTGAGCTGTACTATTCAGATTATAGCGTTAAAGCTTATATGGTGTCTGGTTCTTTTATGAAGCGGGGTTGAGTTGTACTGCTCGTGTTATAAAGTTTAAGCCTGGATAATGTCTCGTTCTGACAGAAACTGGATTCAGCCGTACTATTTGGGTTACAAATTTTAAGCCTGGGTAGTGTCTAGTTCTGTTAAACGGGATTGAGCTGTACTGTATGGGTTGTCACGTGAAAGTCTGGATGGTGTCTGATTCTCTTGAGAACCAATTTAAAATTACTTTGACTCATAAGAGTAAATTATATAACTTGGAATCAGTTGAAAATGGTGTAATCGAAAAAGTTTCTCGGTTCTTATTGTATTATCCTAATAAATTCACGCTGATGACTTTTGAAAATTTGTGGCATTAGACTTGGTTATTTACAAAGTTTCAGAGATATTCAATCAGTTATGAACAAGATCTTCATGTAATACTAGTTGACTTAGAATTAACTCTTATTATAGGGACATTTCGTTTAATATATTTAATGTTTGGCCAATTGATAAGTGCTAATTATCTCGAAATCTAGGTTTAGAAGTACACTACTTACTTACTTACTTACTTACTTACTTACACCTGTTACTACTCGTGAAGGTGAATAGGCTGCTCATCATCATTCTCTACCCAACCCAGTTCTGGGCAATCCGTTCCAGCTCCTTCCAGTTGTTGTTCATCCATTTCATATCTGCTTCTATTATCCGACATAATGTGTTCTTTGGCCTTCCTCTTTTCCACTTCCCTTCACGATTCCAAGTTGGAGTTTGCCTCGAGATGCAGTTTGATGGTTTCCGTAATGTATGTCCTATCCATTTCCATCGTCTTTCCCTAATTTCTTCTTCAGCTGGGATTTGGTTTGATCTCTCCCACAGTAGGCTATTGCTGATGGTATCCGGCCAATGGATGTTGAGTATCTTGCGTAGACAGCTATTTATAAATACTTGTACATTCTTGATTGTGGTTGTTGTAGTTCTCCAAGTTTCAGCTCCATACAGTAGAACTGCCTTGACGTTCGTATTGAAGATTCTCACTTTGATATCGGTTGAACGTTGTTTTGAGTTCCATATGTTCTTCAATTGTAGGAATGCGGCCCTTGCTTTGCCAATCCTTGAATTTACGTCTGCATCTGATCCTCCTTGTTCATCGATGATGCTTTCCAGGTATGTGAAAGATTCTACATCTTCCAGAGTTTCGCCATCAAGAGTGATTGGATTGCTGTTCTCCGCTTTGAATTTGAGGACCTTGGTTTTCCTTTTGTGTATGCTGAGGCCTACTGATGCAGAGACTGCTGCTACACTGTCTGTCTTTATCTGCATCTGTTCGTGTATACGCGATAGGAGGGCTAGGTCATCTGCGAAGTCCAAATGTTCTAATTGATTCTGAGCTGTCCATTGTATTCCGTGTTTTCTTTCAGATGTCGAGGTCTTCATAATCCAGTCGACCACCAGAAGAAAGAGGAAGGAGGAGAGTAAACAGCCTTGTCTGACTCCGGTCTTTACTTGGAATGCATCAGTCAGCTTTCCTCCATGCACGACTTTGAAATGTAGTCCGTCGTATGAATTCCAGATGGTATTGAAAATCTTAGATGTTCAAGCTTACTGGTTGAAATAGCTTAACATCACATTGTAGTGTACATAATGTTAAGTTATATATTGGAATATTCCTTTCTAATATGATTTAATGAGCATGGAAATTAGATCAATCGGCTCCCAAACGACCACATCAAATTATCTTACTATGATAATAGCTGGTGTGCATATCCCTCTTAAATATATTCATTTAAAAATTTATGTATAAAGCAGAAGTCTTTCTGAAAGAAAGCAATCTTACCAAACTAAGTGTCAAGCAGTTTAAGTCTTTCATTTTAAACATTTTGAAGGTCATTTATAAAACAAATCAGCAAAAATAATTCATTGATATAAACTGCTAAAGAGTCAAAGCTGATCTAAGACATATAGGCTGTTCATGTTTTCCTACTTTGTGGCATTTCAGCAGAGCGAATTTCTAACTTCACTAGTGACTGAACCATGGAATTTCAGAGCTCTATGAGACAAGTTAACCTTTATACCGCTGAGTCAGTATCCCATGGTTTACATTTATAGCTTGAATTAATTTAGAATTCTAATATCACTAATGGGTAAATGCTTCACATATAGCCTGGCTTAAATACACGGGTTATTGATTCTCAATAGAACTACTGAATTATATCTCAAAATTAGCCACATCAACATTTGCATCGTGTATTAGCTTATACAAAATAGGTTTTACTACTAATAATGAATTGTGATAGCATACGCTGAAAATAAAAAACTTTAGACAGTAGAATATTAATAGTTGAGTTCATAAGTCATTTAAGGCTAGATCACCATGAAAAACCTGAAAGCACTGGACAGCCTTTTCGTCCTATTGTGGGACTCCTCAGCAGCGCACATCCAAGATCCTGTTCGCTTTAATTGACTCATGAAATCAACTATTAAATTACTAAAATCTCCACAAAAATCCCCATTCTGATAATAATCATCATATGCTCATTAATGACTGGTTTCAAGAGGTATTTCCTGGAGTTCTAGTGAGGAGCCAATGACCAGTGGCGTTCACTCGGGTGTGTTGTGAGATAGTAAGTTACTGAAGATAATGGTGGACAGTGGCTCAATTTGGTGGATTATCTGGAGGTAGACATTAACACCGTTGGATGCTGGCCGGATCAGTGGTCTATTGGTTAAGTATTGGTGTGCGATACTGAGGTTCCTGAGTTCGATTTCTGCGAGCGGAGCTGTGGATGCCTATTGTCACTGGGGAGTCCCATACTAGGACGAAACGACCGTCCAGTTCTTTCAGATTTTCAATGGTGATCTGACATCAATCGGTTCCTGATCTCAATCAGAAACTTAATAATCTTCATAACATCATAATGATAATGAAATATTAGATGTATAATGTACATTTCATGCAATGTAAACATATTGAGAAGACTCTCAAATTAGATGAATTACCTTATAACAATTAATCATTCCATACCTACGTGTTCGTTAGGATATCTCACACATCATGAATGTGTTCAAATCAATTGACATAGAAAGTAAGTAAATTTTCTTATGTGTTAGTATTTTATTTATGAGAAAAACCTGTAGTGGATGTATCGACAGTTAACTGTCTGTAAAACTTGAAATCTTAAATTATGTATCAGGTATTCTTGACCAAAATAGAAAAAAAAACAGTGTTGAATTCATTGTTCCCTCTTTTAGCAGATAACTCCGCCTGTAGCTTTTGTAGATCTACCGCTGGTTCTAACCCCGGGTAAACAATGAGGATTAAGCATGGGATTAGCAACCCCAACCTTGTTAAATAAAACCCTCTAACCAGAAAGTCTATTACCAAATGTATTCAAAGTAAAATATTTCACATAATTCATCATTTATATGAAATGTAGAAAGAAAATTTGCATAAATACTACTCGGTAACTGTCTACTTAAATTGACATGGTATGTGTACAACTGTAAAGTGATAATAAGAACACATACATACCCTTTGTGTGTATGTGTTTGTCTGTATGAATATTCAATTATCGCATGATTATCTCTTATTGTCAGATTAGGTATGTTGATTGTATACAAATGGAAGATGATTAGTTTAACTATGAAATAATACATTCCAAGGTGAAATAATTGCGAACTTATCATCTATTTATCCAATTTATCTAAGTTCTATAGTTGCCAAAAGTTTCTATGTATGTTATACAAAGTGATAATTAGACAAGGATTGTTTGTGTATGACGAATATTTTGTGTGCAATTAAACAATGAATATATTATGATCAGAATGGGGATTTGTGAAGATTGTAGTAATTGTACTAGTTGAATTCATGAGTTCATATAAACTAGACCATTATTGAAAACCATTAGACAATAGATGAAAAGGTTGTGTAAAATCATGGATCAATCGAAATTAGACATTAACATTATTGGATGCCGGCTTAGTAGTCTAGAGATTAAGCATTTACACACGAGGTCGCTGGTCCTGGGTTCAAATCCCACAAGCGGGATAGTGGACGTGCACTGCTGAGGAGTCCCATACTAGGATGAAATGGCTATCCAATGCTTCCAGGTTTTCGATGGTGGTTTAGCTTACATCAATATAAATTAGTTAGTAAAGGAAACAAATTATTCTATGATTATTTAATACCACAGTTTGATATATTTGCGAAAGAGATACACAGAATATCTATTTACATACTTTTATTAGAACGAAGCCTATATCTTAGGTTTTGCATTGTATACCATCTAAATTACAAAAACATTGAAATAACCAAAATTCTAATACATTTACATGATCTGAACATGTAAAATAATTTACGATTGGAAATATTTGATCCAGTTCAATCAGTCTAACTAATTTAAATAGATTTCTGTTTATTGTGATTGTAATTCACATATCAGTAAAAACTTTTGATCGTTTACATGGCCGAGTCCAAGAGTGAACATCAACAAGTCTGAGATGTAAGTACATCCAGTTGACTAGTCTCAAATAGGACGAAACACACGTCTTGGATTCCATCGTTAGCCACTATCCATTTTTGCCTATCATGCTTGTAACTTAAGGTAATATCCAGGCAATCCGTCCAGGATGCATATATGCCAACAAGAGATTGATCCATTGCGGTCTTCAACAACAATGGGAAGATACAAGTAAACAACATTACCAAGTGAATCGATAAACGCCTAATAAACATACACACATATGATCATATACTGACGTGCCTACTGTTTCATTAGTATAAAATGTATCAGATTATTTTCTTCCTTGTCACAATGAATAATTTTAATGTATAAGAAAACTATGATGTTGATAGTTCTTATATGGGGTAAGTATTTTTCTTCGGTGTAAATGTTGAACAACTTTAAAAGTTAAACTTTTTAGCCCTGATGGTCAATGTTAGAATATTCATTTTCATTTGAAAAGCTTGTTTATTACGCCATTTTAAATGCATGTACCAATAGCTTAGCTGTTTTTTTTACTTTGCTAGTCAAATGCTTTAGTGGTGTATGCTACTGATGTCAACAGATATAAGTAGTATATGTCGTCGATTGAAAGTGAAATGCCTGGAAGTTCAAGGTTAAAAAGATCAAAGAAAAGAGAATGAGAATGAAGAATGATTGGTGTGGAAACGAAAGAACAATAAAGTTTAAGACAATTGATTGACATTTTGCAAATGAAGTATTTTTTTTACTGTATGGTTCTTAGATTTTACATTCGATTGTCTCCGCCTGTGTTCTCGTTCACTTCATATTGAATATATTTCAATTACTATAATACAGAAATCAGTATGTAATTGTAATTTTTATTATTTACTTGGGTTGATCATTTAATGATTACGAACAAGTAATATATTGAGTCACCTAGACTACTGACTATATTGTTTTCTCAATTTTATTCCCATTAACAAAGGTTTATTTTCACCTTGTAATGATGTTATATTCAGTAACTGTATATTGTTTTAAAGTTGAAGAGAGTTTATGAAATAATATCAAACTGTATTATTCTACGAATGAATTTATTGGGATCATGAAACGATCAATATTAGGTCACTAGTGAAAACGTGGAAGCACTAAATAGACATTTCATCCTAGAATAAGACACTTTAGATGTGCGTATCCACGATCTTTTGCACGAGATGAATGTTGTTATTCCTGTTTAGTAAAGTCTTACCACTATAAATTCACTTGATGTCGCTTACTTGTATCTTTCCATTTTTATTTATGACTGGAATTCATCGGTCTCTCATTGGTATATGTGTATCCTGTACGGATTGCCTCGATATAGTCTTAAATCACAAGTCTTATGAACAGCTGACGAGCCTCAAATAGGACGAAACGCACGTCAAATTGGATTTCACTCCTAACCACTATCCACTCTTGCCTATAGAGTTTTATGTTTATGTTTTAATTATCAGAAGGGGTTTGTGGAGATTTTTAGAAATTTTCACAGATTGAAATCATGACTCAGTTGAAGCTAGACCACCATTGAAAACCTGGAAGCACTGGACGGCTGTTTCGTCCTAGTATGGGACTCCTCAGCAGTGCGCATCCAAGATCCCGCACCACGCGGGGCTCGAACCCAGGACCTACTGGCTTCGCGCGCGAGCACTCAACCATTAGACCACTGAGCCGGCATCCAACGGTGTTAATGTCCTCATATTCCACAAATAAAAAAAGTACAATAAATTTTTTTTAATTTACAAAAGTATGTTGCCATGTTAGTTGAAAAATCAATAAAGATCAATGAGAGAACTTACCCATACAGTGAATGGTAATGATGGTTGTTGTTGTTGGTAGTGGTGGTGACTGTGATGGTAGTGTTTTTCATTGGATTGATTTAGATCTAAATTATTGGATAATTTAATTGGTAAACTATTATTATTATTATTATTATTCAATGAATTCGATAATTGATTATGATGTAATAAGGTTAATTGTTGTGATAGAATAGAATGATTATGATTTGCAATGGATTCATTTGATTTAATACATTTTGAATTTGAATCAATTTCTATTAAATGTTCATCACTAGATTAAAATAAGAAAATAATATAAATTAATAAAGAAATTTCAATAGTTGAGATCATGAGTCAATTGAAGCTAGACAACCATGGGAAACCTGGAAGGACTGGACGGTCATTTCGTCCCATTGTAGGACTCCTCAGCAGTGTGTATCCATGACCTCGCCCCTGCGAGATTCGAATCCAGGACCTACGGGTTTTCCATGGTGATCTAGCTTCAGTTGACTCATGATCTTCACCATTGAAATTACTATAATATCCACAAAACCCATCTGATATTAATAAAAAAAATGTTTATTTTAAAAGTTATATATATATATATATATATATATATATTTATCATCAACTGTAGGATGCAGGTACATCCAGCTGATGAGTCTTAAATAGGACGAAATGTACGTCTTGCATTCTACTACTGGCCTATATCAACAAAGGGAAGATTCAAGTAAAAAATACTTCACCCCATTACACAAACAAGTGGTCATCGGGACTCAGTAGTTAAGTGGATAACGTGATGGTGTTTGAAGCGAATGGTACTAGGTTCGAGTCCCAGAGTGAACATCAACAAGTCTGGGATGCAGGTGCATCCAGATGGCGAGTCTCAAGTAGATCGAAACAAGTGTCCGAAATTCCACTACTAGCCATTATCCATCTTTGCTTAAAAAGCATGTATATTTCATTTCCATTTTTATAATATATACTGATTTGTAAATTTGTTATTACAAATTAAATTCGATTTCACAGGGCGGGATCGTGAATTCGTACTGCCACGAAGGAGTCCCATACTAGGACGAAACGGCCGTCCAGCGCCTCCATATTTTCCATCATGGTTTAGCTTTAATTGACTCATGGATTTAACTATTAAATTACTATAATATCCACAAAACCGTTCTCCTATTTTACATCATTTGATACAGATAGTCAGTTAATATTTACGTAATAATCAATTTAAATGATCTACTGGGTTACTACTGGCTTATTTAGAATTCTCATTCTATAAATTTTATTTATGTTGCATAACTAATTTGATATTAATTCTGTTACCTTTTTTTATAGTGAATGTCCCCTTAGTAACAAAGATGAATAAATCTTTATGGGAAAAAAATGGCTAAACCATTTTCAATCGTTGTCTGACAACGATAGATACATAGACAGATGGAAAGATAAACAGACAAGTACAATTACAAAGACAAATTTTATTAAGATCCAATTCAATGGACAAATTATTTTCAGCTCAAATACATTTTTGTTATTACATAACTAGTTCCAACATACTAAATAAAGATGGAAATACTAGACTGAGTGAAAACCCAAGACCTATTCTTCGCATTAGTTGACATCCGTTAGCACCAGATAACTTTGTTCTTGAAGAACTGATGCATCTTATGGGATTTGAATATGACAAATTTATTTTTACAATCCAATCAATGCTAATGACTGGGGAAACATTAAATATACGTCTGCTTAATGATTAAGCAGAGTAAGGAAGAGAATAACCTAATTTCATGTAAATCAGTAGAACGAATAGAGAAACGTTATAAACAACAACTGCTTGTTCAAACTAATTCAATTCGTCTGAGAATGGTAACATTTGGAGAAGTATTACAAATCAGTGAGTATTGAATATGTGTTTGTTCGAGTTTAGGACTCCAGAGCAATAAGCAGCTATGAATCTAATAACACATGATGAAGTAAAAGAAATTTAAATCTTGACATGAGAAAGTTCCTTCTAAACCGCAGCCTGAAATTCACTAACATATATAACTGGCTTCAACATATTCTCAGTATACGTCGATCTGTGAAGATTCTATTTTATAAATGACATAGAGTATAACACTTGATTCTCATGGAATGTATTCAAAACCATCCAATTCCGATTCGATATTTATCATCTTAGTGCTGGCAACATTTTTTGAGGTCTAGGACATTTAGTCGAAAATTTTCACCTAGTTTTTCTTTGAAATTAAGCCACCAATTTGACCCAAGCTATTAAACCCTGGACCTACGCTTCGTGCTATTTGGCCCTCGTCAGCAAAGTGTACCTGTAGTCTCGAGGGTACTGATACTCCCTAACGGATTTGATCACGTGTCACCCAGCTTCACAGTCAGAGACGTTACCCTTAATGACCTCTTGTACGACTGAGATGCATTTACAATTGATTGATCACTAGGTAGTGATCAGTGTCATGTATATAAGGTCCTTCTGAGTGCAGATAGAATCTTATCGACAAAGTTGCATTATGGCACGCAATGTCGAGTCACCTAGATTAGTGGCCACATTGCAACTTGGTCGCTGCAATTCGGTTTACACTAAAAAGGGCTCGACACACATGGCACTGATCACCACTCAGTGATCAATCAATTGTAAAGTATGATCTAGTGTAAATGTTGAAATTGATTTTCAATTTTAGTGATCTAAATGTATCATTAGCGTTCATTATGTTACAATGTTATTTTTCTATTGTCTATCAATGTAAAATGTCCTAAATATTCGTAATATTTCTGTCGAAAAACGTCTGTTCGACGTTGAATTCCAGATACAAAATGGTAAAAACACTTAATGAAATATAAGCAAAGACAATTTATTGTTTAATATTGTTTGTATGAATCTTCTTATTGGTGTTTAGGTCTGTAAATGATCAGTCTCTTATAGGCATTAGTACATCCTTGTGTGGATTGCTTTGATATTGCCTTAATTCACAAGTATTATGAGCAGAGTTGGATGGATGGTGGCTAGCAGTGGAATCCAGGATGCGCGTTTGTCCTATTTGGGACTCGTCAGCTGGGTGTACCTGTATCTCAGACTTGTTGTTGTTCACTCCGGGACTCGAACCCAGTACCACTCGCTTCAAATGCCATCGTGTTATCCACTTAGCCACTATCCATCTTTGCTTATAAAGCTTGTGACTTCAGGCAATATCGAGGCCGTCCGCACAGGATGCACATATGTCAACGAGACTGATCGATTGCAGTCTTAAACATCAATGGGAAGATTTAAGTAAACAACATCAAGTGAACTTAACAAAGTACATTGAAAATATGCAATTTATGTTACGTCACCGAATTTCTTCATGTAACTTCACGTGATTAGTTACTATAATCAAATCATTAAATGAAACTCATTCACAGGTTTCAATACCTTATTTAAAGTAACAATGTTTATACGAGGGCTGTAGATATTATCCTACTACCCAAATCAAATGTGTGGAACATAAAAGTTTAATCGATCAGATGACCACTAAATGCCTTAGATACATAGTCACCTTTCAAATAAACAAACATCAGATTGTTCGACTCAAGATATATCATCAAAGTACAATATCATTTTACCCAGTAATAGAGTAAATTTCATTAATTAAAAGGTTTCATAGGAAAAAGCTGCTAATAGTTTCATATGTCTTATGGTTTATATAATGTGAGGACGACCCACGGGTGAATTTGAGGAATTTCTATGAAGCTCAAAAAGAGCCGAAGATATTCCATCTAATCATCTTCTAGATGAACATTCCAGAATATCGATGTGTAGCTTACTTATTGGATAGATGCTATAACCTCCTGTATGGGGATTGGTTGACCATAATGATAATTTCGCTTTTATTAAAAGCTATAAATACCTGAGAGTTTTGTATTAAACTTAACACTGTTTGGAATAACATTTTTTTCTCATTCGTCTTCTGTCTTCTCATTTGCGACTTGGAGGGTTCTAGTGTTCCAGTGCTCCAGTTATACGCGATGTATTAAGAATCTAAGTTTTAGATATAACACCTGGCGACGATGATGGGATTCGAACTCACGCAGAGAAACCCCAATGGATTAGTAATCCATTGCCTTATCCACTCGCTCTAGATATAACACTATTTAAGAGCAAGGAATACTAGACAAATATTTCATTCTAATTAATAAATAATCAGATGTGTTCAACCATAACACCAATAAGGATCAAATTACAGATTTTAGCTTTCTATTAGATATTTGAAAACTTGTTTATTATTTAGATACAAGATGTTATCTACTTGTTTAAGATTATTTTTAATTAAGATCATGAATCGATCGATGTTAGACCACCCTTGAAAACCTGGAAGCAATGTGAGAAACCGTGACCAGTGGAGCTAATCCACGTTAAGTAGAAATAGGTATGTACCTCAGTACAATGGAAGATAGTCGCGCAACTTTGTGTAGTGGTTGAAGTTAGACGGATTAGTGGTCTACAGATTAAGCGATCGTGCGTGAGACCGAAGGTCGATTCATGATCTAAATCAAAAACTTAAAGACCTCCACAATACCATACTGAATAATAAAGTAACTTAACGATTTAAGTGAAAGTTGTCTGTAAAAAGTCTTAAATACAGATTTCATGCTACATAACAATCCTTAATAAGGTTTATATATAAACCTGGATGCATTAATGCTTCATGTGAGATTCACTAACCATGAAACTGTTTGACAAGGGTTTGGATCATTTATGAAGAACAAACTTTCAAGACAGTGGACTGTAAGTCAAAACTAGCATGACAGTTAAGTCTAGTATGTTTACCCGATTTCTTCCAACCACTTAAAAAAAATGAATCGCAATGTTGCACCACTTAAGCCAATGGTCACACATCGGAGTTGAAAGACAGGATTTGATAAGTACTAAAGTCTGAACGACATGAAACCAGTTAGTAATGAGTGGTTAATTAACATGAGTTTCCAGTTCCTGAAGTTAAAGAGAACCCGTATTCCCAATCTTTTGTACAGTACAAGATTACAGTTAAAACTAATACTAGATGGTGAATCAAAACCTACACAGAAATGTTATTTTTTTCCACTCAGTCAAATGAATGACGCTACTCGGATACTGTATGCGCGTTTCGGAGACGCAGCATATATCGATGGCTCGAGATTCTAAAGTCCTAGCTAGGGAAATCTGTTGTCCTATTTGGCAAAGTGTTCGGAAGTTAAAAGCTCATACATGTAGTTTAGAGCGTAGTTTCAAGAGACCGAAAATACTCGAATCGTTTGCATTAG